TTTCTCCTTTATGAGCTATGTGGGCAAAAATATGAAATGTATGTTTTATATTCACATGCTCTCCAACAGAGATGAATGCATCTCTAAATACTTCTGTGGTTGCACACTACATTTGATTATTTTCTTCTGATTGTATCAAAGAGGTTTTTAAAACCAAATATCTGTTGAGAGTGAAGGGGGCTGATTAAATCACTTACTTGCTTTTATTCCTGCATGTTGTTTTTGTGTCTCCTTTTGGAATCTGCCATTCCTTTTTCTTTGTCTTCTTTGAGAATGGTAACTGAAATACTGCAGGCACTGTATTAATAGTATTGGAAGGGTTTTGGTAGTTTGGTTTGGTTGGTTTGTTGTGGCTTTTGAGAAATCATACATCATTAGTTCCTAAAGTCTCCCCCATGGAGCTGAGATTGTTGTTTGTAGGCAGCACTTACAGGCTTTAAACTAATTTTGAGATACTTTTTAACCTTTAAAAGTAGGTGAAAGTGGCTGAGGTTAATAGCAGAGAAGTCCTGGCTTCCAATGTTAATGTCAGGGGTTTTTTAGGTGCTTTATCTTCCACTATTCATTTCTGATCACAATTTGTGTGTCTCATACACATACCCACACTTGACACACGCAGCTCCTGAGTTGCTCTTACAAAGGATTTAAGAAAGGTCAATTTCTTTGCCTGTGTTACCTCAACATTTACCTAATATATTAGTATTTTAGTTTTTAGTAGAAGATTGTCATTATAAGTTCTCATCTCCAGCCTTGAGGGTCTTAGCTCACTGACAGAAGTACAGGAGTCTTGTCCTTGTCTTTGCTATTGCTATACTGTGGAGATTTTCTAAAATTATTTTTAATTTGTACAACTTTACAAATACACATTTGTAAAGTCAGCATTAAGGCCACATCTAAGAATAAAGAATGACTGCATCAATCTTTATTTATTAAAGGATTTTGAAAGGTTGTCTCATGAAAAGCAATTAGTAAGTGTCAGCAGTTGCATGAGGATTAATTATAGCCCTAGAAATACACGTTTAAGTGGTAAAGTTCATTTGCTGATCTCAACTGCTGGGATGTATTTCAAAAGAATTAGCTTTGCATGGTCCATATGTGTGTGTGCACATTTTAACAGGATGTCAGTTTTCATCTGTCCCCTACCTCAGAGCTGCTGTGGTCAAGTGCTGTGTCTTGCATTGCTCCATGAAACACCACCTTCCTTTCTCAGGTTTGAGAGTGTGAAGCTGTAGTATTTCTAGCTAAATGTCTGCTGAGCTGGAATATCACAAAGATCAGTTACTGTGATTTCAATAAGTACAGAGCTGTACTATGTTGGGGGAAGGAAAGATGTGGAAGTAGTTTTCTATGGCACACAATGGAGTAATTTTCTAAACTATTCTCAGAGGTGTTTTCAGCTGTAAAGGTTGTATTCAGGTGGGTGTTTCCTCTTTTCATAAAAGTCTTAAAGGTGGAGGAGGAATTAAGGTTCTGCACTCTTGTGTTACAGTGTCCTTGGGTCAGCTGTCTGATTTCTGCACGTTGACTTAGTTTAGGGAAATCAAATATCCTTCAGAGAATCCTAATACCTATTTCACTCAGGGTTTTTTTTAAGTTTTAATGGTTAAATGCTTCATGAGAGCCTTGGCTGAATAGCTGGAATCTCTTTCAGAAAACATCATGATAGGTGCCAAGACACTTTAACTGCAAACTTGAGTATAGTAACAGCTCAAATACAGGTTAAATGCTCTTTGTATGTGATATTTTAGGTACATATCTTTCTTAAAATATTTTAAAGCTACTCTAATTGCTCCCATATTTATAGAAAGATCAATGTCGTTCACAGTAAGCTGTTTACATGCATGCTTTCTTTGGGGAAAACTACTGTAATTAGAGTAGTGATTTATTTTATGTCTAAAGTGAGTGGGAGCTACTGCAGTGGGAAATTGAGGACGAGGTTGGGCTGAGGGCTAAATAGGTCTGTGGTCTTCACCTGCCCTGGAAGACACTATATACACCCTGTCATGTCTTAGTAAGTTCTTTTTCTTGTTTGGTTGTAGCCCCTGATGCAGCCACTGACAGATGTGGTGTGGAGGAGCCAAGTCTCCTTCGCTGGTCAGTGGTGTTTGCATTCCTGACCTCTCCTTTTACACCACTGATTTCCCTCTGAGTCAGCTGCTGGAGGAATAGCCAGCACAGATCCACACCTCTGGAATATGATAAAAGTAATCTGCCACACAAAGTGTAAAGATTAGCAGGTCTAAGCTGAGACAGTGTTTCCTTAGTGCAAAGGTGTTACAGTTTATTTTAAAGCATGGATGGAAGCTTGGGATTTATTGTGATGCTTTTATATCTGGGTATTGTTTGCTTTTGTAAAATAAAATTGAAAAGTGGTCTTGTGCTCCTCTTAGACATCAAGCCTGTTGCTACATTAGAACCTTTGATATCCATTGTAGATTAAATTCTTGTATAGTTTTACTGCCTTCATGTAGGGAATGTGGCTGGGCATTTATTCTTTTATTTATTTATTTATTTATTTATTTATTACTCCTCACTTCAAAACTGTATATAATACCCCAAAATAGGTCTGGCTGTAATATTTTGAAGGGAATTTAATTGCCTTTATATATCAAACACCTCTGTAATACCCCACAGTATGAAAGATTTTGGGACCTACTAATGGATTTGTAGTAGTTCTTTTTGGTAGCCTGTATCATCTGTAAAAATAGCAATCTCAAATTAATTTTGTAGTGAATTCTTTGTATGATTGTTTAAAACTGCAGAAGATAAATGTTTTCCTTATAGGCCAGACCAATCATCTGAACCCATATTTTGGGTCTTTATATGGAAACCCATTGAAAATGGAAGTGATGCTACACCACTTAGCTCAGTTGAACTGTCTTCCTCTAACTTTGTATAATAATCAAATAACTGTCCTACATGCAGCCTTCAGTGGGTTTTCAGAAGTTACAGACCTAGTGACATTTGGAAATATTTCATGTTATGTTCTTTCTTGTGAACAAAGAAACAGCAAATGGCATTCCCAGTGTTACCCCCCTCCTAAGAAGGTATCATTCAGAACTTTTCTTCCATGACTCTCCAACTCTGACAGGAAATATTAGAACTCATGTGTTGTGGTTTGTTAAAAAATGTAAATTTCTGTTCAAAATTGTTTGTCAGTCTCTCAGAAAATTAGAAGTAATTAAATAGAAAGTTCTACAGATTTGTGCCATTTCTGTACCCTCTCATCTCAAGATGGTGTGAGAAGCAGACAATTGTAATAACTTGCTGCTACTCCTTTCCAGCTAATTTGATCTTGTTCCTTAATTCTGACAGATTGTTTTTAATTTTCCCATCTGTTCCATAAAAATCTCAAGTGATTGACTCCTAGGAAAAAATAATGTCTAATAGCTGAGCCATTTTTAATGAGTTGGTATGAGTTATTTAATGAGACGTGCTGAAGAAGGCAAGCCAAAGGGAAGATTGGGCCTGGGGTGGTGGATGTAAAGAAAGGTAAAGGGCAACCATCTGCTTCAGGAAACTTCCACTCTTCATCAGCAGCTTTAGGCTGCTGCTCTCTCCAGTTTCAGGCAGTGCCCGTGGACAAAACAACAAAGGTTCAGTAGCAGTAATTCTTTTTCCCCTTTTATTTAGAGCAGTGTCTGCCCTCAGACAGTACTGCTTTGGGGAGAGGAACAGTCATGAAAAGAAAGAAAAATCAAAGAATAAAAGAATAATATTTAAGTAACCTTAAAAGTATTATGGTCTGTGGTTTAACTTCATTTCTTCCAGCAATTTACACAAACTCCCAGATATTCCAGAAAGAACCCTAGTGCCTGTAAACAGAGTGAATGTTCTCCTCTGGCCTCTCTGAAGGCTAAAACCTTTGCTTTAAAATTGCCTGGAAATGGCATCTCCCGGGGCAGGAAGCCATCAATATGCAAGTCTTTGAGAATAGCAAGCATGAATATAAATACTAACATCTGGACTTCTCCCTTCTGTTTTGGTTTTTATATATTATTATAATAAACATTAACATTATTTTTAATAATCATCAGATAGCATTTTCTTTGGCAGCTTAAGACTTCATTATTAAATCAAATAGTGAATATAAATATACAGCTCTTTTAAAAGGAAAATTGAAAATTTGACTCAACCCTGCAAATATGCCATTGTGAGTCTAATCTATTGTAGAATTCATAGAATAATGAATTAACGTCTCGATTGCATACAGTGAGGCAGAACAAATGAGAGAATGCTGCCATGGTAATGAGCAAAATATACACTTGTTTTTTCAGGTGGCAATCAGCTACCAACTAAGGAGAAAAACTTTTGTCTGCATTTTCTTAAACTAGTAAAACCTGAGAGTGCACTAGGCAAGCAGAGAGCATCAGTACTCTACAGATCCAGAGCATGTCCAAATACTCAGCCCGTCAGGTGTGCCCATGACACGTATTGCAAGCAGCCAAAGAACCACTGAATGCAGCAGTTGAAACTACTGGTTTAAATTAGTACAAAATTGCACTTGGATGGTGTCTGTTTTGAAACCTGAGCTCAGCAGGTAGCTACAGATAGGAGATGTTCTGTTCTTACACAGAAGTCACTGGCTCTGAGTGAGACTAGACTGTGCCTGCAGTTTAGACTATCCTAATTTGAGACTGATATAAGGGGAAAAAATATTTTTATTTGTAAGGATTTTTTGCTTTCTAGTGCCAGTGTTCTTAGACTGGAAGAGAGAGTGGTGGTGGTGTTCCTGTTGGGAAGAAAGAATGGGTTGGTGCTTATTTTGCATGCTAGGAGACAAAATGGACCTAATTTTGAGGAAAAAAGGCTTTGGGAACGTGACCTATTATCTATCCCTCTAGATGGATTTTGGACAAAGACCTTGTGTTGCAGCTTTAGTAATAAATCTTACTTGTATTTATGTAGTTGAAATTAAATTCACAAGATGTAAGTTTAATAGTTCTGCATTAATTCTTCATAAAGCATTGATCTTTTGTTTTTTTTATCTTCCTCCTCAGTGTGTCAATCCTGATCTTTAATACTTCTCGGCAGTGCTTTGTTGTGGTGAAGCAGTTCCGCCCAGGTAATCCTCTTTTTTAGATTTACTTTTGCTCTCTAGTGAAGCAAGCTTTTAAGGGTTTAGCAGTTAAAAGTTGGTGCATCTGTGGTGATAAAATCTTTGTTCTATATTCTGTTTCTTTGTATGATAGCCCATCCTTTTCAGTCAGTCAGAATTTCTAACCAGGGAAATTTCCATTACAGATGAAATGAATTATCGCGGTAGTCTTAGATTCTGCTTTTGGGCTGGTTATTGTCCTCCTTTGGGTGAAATTACAAACAGCTCTACAGTGATAGTGCAAGAAATTGCTTTAATTGGAAGTTCCTTCTTGACCTACTTGTACAGAAGCACAGTATTTTCCTTTTTATTTTGTCTTAAATATTCTTTCTATTTGTACTGTCTTATTGTGCATTGTATAGTTGGAATTTAAAATGAGGGAGATTCAGAACTGTATGCTTTTTCATCAGTATGTGGACAGCTTAATTTTACCAGTTATTATGAATTTAAGTTAATATACATTTTTTTTCTGAGTTCTTTTATCAGTTATTTTAACTCAAAGCAATATTTACTTTCTGGAAGTTAAAAACAAAATGTGTATTTGCTGCATGTTAATTGAAAGAAATGATAAGGTATTTCACTGACTGTTGCTAAGAGACCGTTTCAAGACTGCTCATGGTAGACTTTATAGAAAACTTTCTAGGTTAGTGTCACACTGCCCTTTCTTCCTGATAGTGATCACAGCCTCTCCAGTGCTGTGCAGCAGTGTTACACTGACAGTGCATTCTTCTCAACAAGTGCTAATTGACTTGTATAAAGTGTTTGATTATTTTTTCATCACTAATCCACTGTGTTTTATTTGCCAGTGAATAAATGGCTCCTATAGCTTTTGCTCTCTTTGAAGCAATCTTAGGGAGAAGCCTTCATATGTGTGCATGCTGAAGCAATCTTAGGGAGAAGCCTTCATATGTGTGCATGCGCGTATATGTATATGTATATGTATATGTATATGTATATGTATATGTATATGTATATGTATATGTATATGTATATGTATATGTATATGTATATATATATGTGCTGAGAAGCAACACATTCATTGCATTATCTCCATGAAAGTGTCAAATCAGCCTCAAATGACTGGAGTTAAACCATTCCAGAGGCTGGAGCTGCTCAGGCTCTAGGCACAGTAGTCAGTCAGTCAGACATCCCAGAGCAGTTCAGTGATCACAACCATGCCCTGCCATTATTCACATCCCTATATTTGTAATTATATCTCCATTCCATGATTATTGTCTGCCCTGGTGCCTGTTCAAAGCAAAGACAAAGGCTGAGGCTTTTCTCATTGCCAGATCCTTCCAGGGTCCCACCAGGAAGGCGATCACTTGTTGCTGTGAGTGAACAGCTGCCGCTCGCTCTGCAGGCACGTCCCCTGTGCTGGTGCCACGTGTGCTCGCCTTTCCTTGGGCTGTGCTGGCAGGAGCAGCCTTTCCCAGTGATGTCTGTGCTGCTTGTAAAGGCACTCATCCCTCCCTGCCCTACATTCCCACCCCATTCTGTTTGGCAGCAGCAGCCCTTATGCAGCCACAGCAGAATGGCTGCAGCCAGGAGGTTTTGAGGATCAGGGAGCTGAAGAGTTCATGGTGACTTGAGAGTGGCAGAAGCACACAACCAGTGATGCAAAGAGTGTGCTCTGGGCTTAGGTCATCTTGAATGGTCATGAAATCACACATTTGGGAGGAGCAGAGAGCAGAAAGATAAACACGTATCTCCGCATATGTTCCTCACCCATGACTAATTTGCAAAGGTATTGGTCAATGCTTATTTTGGTAGGCAATTGACCACACATTTTCAAATATAATAAAATTATAGGTTGCTAGGGTTGGGACCTATGAACATGTACTCTAGTTTATTCACTCCGAGTATAATGACCTTTCAGTGAATTGTGATGTTTGTTTTTCTACTGACTTAAAATAAACATTATCAACTATTTGAATCATAAGCCATGTTCCGTTTCAGGAAGTACAAAACACAAGTGCAGTCAGAAGTTTAGAGAGGAGCCAGCACCTTCCCAGACAGCCAAACCCCACTGGCTCCTTAGTCCCTACTGTTGTTTTCTTCTGTTTTGGGATAGCAAACAAGTCCCTATGTGTGTCACCTACAAAGGCTGCTTTTAATAACAGCAGTGATCTTATTTGCTCCATTTGATTGAACAATCTATCCTTTGTTCCATGTTACAGAAAGGAAGGTGAGAACATCAATTCTACTGGAGTTTCCACTCTGAGTGAAAACTTTCTTACAGCTGAGTGGCTCCAGGGTAATTAGTCCAGATGTGGATTCCATCACTTCCTTGGGAAGCCTTTTTCAAAGCCTGACAGCCCTTTTGTTGTCATTCTTCCTGATGTGCAACCAGAAGCTCCCCTGGCACAGGTTGATTCTCACTGTGCTGCTGCTCATGGCTGTGTCCATCTGGTGATGGAGCAGGCTGCCCAGCAATGATGCAGTGGCAGTTCCTGGCCAAGGAAGCATCAGAAGCCAAGGGAACAATGGGCATGGGACAAGTGGGTGGGTGACTGTGGGTGACTGTGCTGAGGCTTCTGGTTTCTGTTTTCCAAACTCTTTGTGGATTTGCAATAAGATGACAACCTGTGGTGAGGAAGAGGAGGGCCATGTTTCCCTCTGAATCAGAGTGTGCCTGATGGGTATATAAAAGCAGTGTGTCACCTGTGATAGGTGACACACTGCTTTTCCATCCAGTCCTTTATCACCCAGTGCATCACTCTTGTGCAGTCAGTTTTGCACCTTCAAGAGAGTTATGAAAGATTCTCTTTTCCTTGATATGAGCAGGCAGCTTGGCATTCTAGGCTTTGCATATCTGTGAGAGATAAATTTAGTTTGAACCTTTGCAATCCAGGTGATATTCATAATCAGACTCCTTGGTGAATGCTTTAATATTTGGGTTCTTACAGAAGTGGCTGGTATTCCTTCCTTATCTACAGAGAAAAACTTTTTCCTGGGCTTGAAGTGTGGGCATATCACAGGACTCTGTTCTGAAGAGGACTGCTGGATTAGGTCCTTCTGGGAATGTAGGTTTTGATCTACATGGAGCCCAGTTGTGCTGAGGAAGAAGGAGAATGGCAGGTGCCTGATGGAATGACAGGATAGGTTTCAGGGACAGAAGACTTTTAACACTCTTAAGTCACAGTTTCATATTTCTGTACCCCACACTCTTACCTGCATCCTGTTTTAGTGCCCAAAGCCTTTAATGGGATGCATGTGTTGTTCCTTTTTAAATTATCTGATATGGGTATGTCAGTACTAAAAACGAAATAAAACTTTCAGAGGATTTGGCTTGTCTCAGAGAAATCTTGGATGTGGTTGTCATTTATGATAATTTCCCTAGCTTTTAGAAGTTTTTGGAATAATGACAATAGACACCCTTCAAGGAGCTGTCCCTTAGAGCTGGCAGGGAATATTTTTTTTTCTGGCTTCATGCTGTGCTTTAAAAAGAAAACTGAGCTCTAAGTCATGTCTCTCAAGTAAGAAATGGAAACTCCGACCCGTATCTGTTTGAATCTCAAAGACCTGGATATACCTAAAACTAGCAGCTTTGAAAGTTTTAACTTCCGGAGAAAGATTAGATTTTGGATGTTGGACTGATCTGGACATCTCCCTTTCAAGTGCAGATCTTGCTACTCTACACTTCTGAGGTGTAAAAATGAGCATTGCAGAAAGAGCTCAGGCACAAATTTCTGGGGTGTAGACGCTGCCTCAGAGACCAAGTGCTTAAGAAACCACTGTGGTATTTCACTGTAAAGCAACAACATTTCTCTAGAGAAATTTTTTTTAAGAAATACCAAGCTACAGTACCTGGAAGGACAAAAAGCTGTCTATTAAACCTGAATTTTTATGTATCAATTCTGCAAGATTTAGAATGGGAAATAAAAGAGAAACTAATTTGAAAACTGTGTTATGTGTATGTGAAATATGCATGTAAAATATTTTAATGGAATAAAAAATTGGTTCGAAGTTTAAAATATTTTTATTCATGGTGGTTTATAACACTCTTTTGGAAACCTTTCATGAAAAGCAAAGGGATAGACATAAGGAAATCTCTAGGAAAAAACAAGTGGAATTGTGCCTGTGTATTAAAGTTACAGTGATCTGGAGTTGGCTGTCAGTAGGGATTCTTTGTGTGTTGACATCCAGTCCTGCAAAATTTGCCTGAGTCCTTCTCACTCAGGCAAAATTTCTGTTGACATCAGTGAGAGAGTTTGCTTAAATAAGGACTAAAATCTGACATTTGCACTTTCTTTAGGAGCACATTACAGTGGCAGCTGTTTGTAGACTAGTTCAAGAAGTCTTTTTCAGACTCCACACAGGAATCTGTGCAAGGAACTGTATGTTCAAAAGAGGATTTTTTTTTTTTCAAACAAACATACATGCTTTTCATACCCTTTCTAAATAACAGCTGAGTTGACAGGCTGAAAGACTCATCATTGTGCACATGGTACTTTATGTGCAACCCAACTTTCCTGCAAGATAACTGCATAGTTTAAATTAAATCCCAATATCCACATTGCCCAACAAATGGAAGCTGTGTGGTACTTCTGGCACTTAGATTTCTTGATGAACTAGCTTTCTTTTCCAATTTTTATTTATTTTAAGGTGCACAAGAATTCATTTCAGATGATGTAAGTACAAATAAGGGTTTAAAGAATAATTTCATGGACATGGCAAGAGAACCTTTGTTCTTTAAAATTCCAGTTTTGAGTGTGATTATTATAACAGATAACACAGCTGAATTCCTTGTTGCTCCCAAGTACTCTCATGGTTGTTAATTTCCAGGCAAAATTTGTCTACTACCCTTTTTTATATTTAATATGAAGAGACTAACATACTCTCCCTTGTTTCTTTTGCTTTTGTCGTTTGGGGTTTTTTTTTAAGCTGTTTACATGTGTGAAGTAGAAAGGCATCATCCTGAAGTCTTCCAGAATCAGAACAAGGAGAGCTTCCCTTCCCTGGAGAATCCCTTACCTGCTGTGGTTGGAGTGACCTATGAGCTCTGTGCTGGCATTGTGGACAAGCCAGGCCTTTCTTTAGAAGAAATTGCTTGTGAGGAAATCTTGGAAGAGTGTGGCTATCGTGTTTCCACTGCAGACCTCAGGAGGATCACTTCTTACAGGTAAATAGCACTGAGCTACAGCACTTTGCATTTCATTGTTTCACAGATTGCTGAAGTGGCCTGGTTGTTCCCTCTTGCCTTGTTTCAGCAGTGTGTTGGAGGAACGTGGGCATCTGAAGGTACAAGAAAGGTGTAATTTTTAGCAAGTGAGAGGAGTATTTACAGAAATGTAAGGAATTAGAAATATGTAATCAATATGATAATTATGGGATTGAATTCCCAGGAAGAGTCATACTATTGTGACTTATTCCAAAGACTATTAGAACAGAGAAAAGTTGCATTGGGCTCTTCAGAGCAGCTTGTAACAGCACTAGAAAACAGCCCATCTTTACTATACTGAGTGTTTTGCATCTCTGATTCTTATTATTCAGATTAACAATAGAAACTGCCCAGGATGCTCTGTGATTAACCTTTAACATGATTATGCCGAAGCATGAGAACTTGTGGCATTAGATCTCTTCATAATATTTGGTCTGTAATTAAAGCTTCTTTAAACTGGACAATAATGAATGTTATATACAAAGATTTTTCTGATTTGACTGTGAAAATTATTACATTGTATTTTTGCAGGGTTTCAAATAGTTATTGAGATAGTTTTTAACATGTTTGAAAACATTTATTAGAAGTAAAGGGAAAAATTAATATGTAAGTGGAAAAATACAAAATGTGAGTTGTTGGTGAAAAGAAACCATCAAGAGAAACTTTGCATACAGCTTTAATCCTATTATATCTCCTTCCCAGCTTTTAGTATTGTTATCCAAAATGTATGTATGTTTGTATTTTACAGAGAAAGCAGCAGGTTTTTTACTTTCTTTATTTTACTTGACATCTCCATTGAACTAGGCACTATCATTGGTTTTTAATTTGGGAATTGAATACAAATCCACAGCTGTCAATCCTGGCAAATGTTATTTCCTGCTGGATTAACAGGCAGTGTTTCTGTTGAGGGGAGGGGGTGAATCACAGGAGCTGTCTTTTACAACTCATTGAAACCAGATTAAGGGTTTGTTCTACTGAAAGAAAAAGTGTCTTCCAGATTTATGAGCAAGAGCTGTCTATAGAATTTCATAGGTTGGGTGACACTGACAGGCTGCTGCATGCAGATATATACATATGTATATGTATGGATGTATGTCCATACAAATGCAAAAGAGGAAAAGTAGAATACAATTCCAGTAGAAGGCTGTAGATTCAGTGTAGTAGTTTGACTCAGTATTAATGGTTTATATCTGCCTAAAACTCTCTGTGTTTTGGTGTTGATAAATGTCTTTGTATGTTACAGGTGGTTGTTCATTCAGTTGCTTTTTAATTTTTTTAATTACACTGACTTGTGAAGAGTTTATACAATTGGGGTTTTCTTTGTTGAGACCCTTGCAAAGAGCTCATAATCCTCCATTGTCCATGTGGACACAGCTCTCTGCCCGTGGAGATCCATGCTGAAGTCAGAAGGGCCTGTATAATTTTCACATTTTTAAATTAATGTGAAAGGTTGAAGCCTGAAAGATGATATTTTACAGGTTTTTTTTTGTTTGATGTCCCTTGATCTATTGTTAGGATTTTATTTTAAATGTTTTGGTATTCCTATTAGGAGTGTCCTGTTTTCCTCCAGCCAAGGATTGTCATATCTTTCTGATCCTTGACGATTTGATGCAAAGACAGGAAGTAATCAGTTCGTTTATGGTCTCTTGTAAGACAGAGCATTTTTCTGTAATGCCTGTACTACATATAAGAATTCCTGGGCTTTTTCCAAGTGTAGCAGGTTTTTCCAAGTGGTTTATGCTGCTGGTTCACGCTGAGACTGTCAATACAAAGCACAGGCATAAAGCATTGCATTAATGCATATGCATGCCATTACAATTGTAATGCATCCTACACTTGTACTCTTACCTCCCATTCCAGCAATCTGTGTAATAGTTGTTATGCATCATTTATTGATCCAGTGCCTCAGATCAGAGTTTTGGGGGGCTCTCTCTAGATGGCTCCTCCTCAAAGATCAGCCTCAGCTGGACTGGCAGTAGTTGTGATAGATGCATGTCTGTACTTTCTCTTAAACCTGATCATTCCATGGCCTCTCCTGGAGGGTTTTGGTATTCTGTGTGAAGTATCTTATCTGTCTCTACCACAAGCAACTTTTCCCTCATGTCTTGCCTAAATTTCCCTTTGTTTACTTCAAGACTGACACTTACTGCTCTGTCCCCAGTGGACATGAAGTATTTCTGCACCTTCCAGCTATTTGTTAAAACATGTTCTCTTTATTTTATTTTTGCCTGTGCAAAACTATTTTAGTTGATTTAGTCTTTCTCTTCAGATCATGTTTTCTAGATATCTGATCATTCCTTCTGCTGTCCTCTGCCTTCTCTCCATCTGGTCTGCATATTTCTTATGCATTTAGTGTCCAAAGTGAAGCACAGTACTTTAGTGGGGGCTTTCCTGGACAGAGTGGAAGCATTATCTCCCCTAATCTCACAGATCATTCTTTATACACTGAAGCTCATTGTTTGCCTTTTTGGCAGAGGCATTACATTATTGATATAATTTATCTTCCACAATGCCTCTCCTATCTCAAAACTAGGAGCTGAACCTGATGATACTTGTGGGTCCCTTCCAAGTCAGAATATTCCATGATTCTGCATTCTCATTCACCTCCTGTCTGTATTCTGTGCCATCACAGCCTTTGATCTGAAAGCAGGGAGTTGTATTCCTAATGACACCCCTTTCTGGAAGCATGGTCATGAGAAGGAAATTGCGTGCCTGGAATAAAAGCAGGAGTTGAGTTAGACCTGACAGAAGGGTGTGAAAAGCCAAAGACACATCAAATGTAAAGGGAGAAATGGTTTTGGCTAGGGAGGTCAACACAGTTCTATGCCTAATGGATTAAGAAAGATGGAGCATGGACAATCCATAGGGAGAAATTAGACTGTAGAGAAAAATTGAATATGAAAACCTTGAGTGAAAAAAAGAGGAAGAAGAGATGAAGGAACAATGCAGAGAAAAATCATATGCTGAGAACTGAATGGACCTGGGGAAAGTACATTCATTGTGGTGAAGAATTCTCTGTAAGGAAATGAGGAAAGTACTTATACTGTATTCAACTTTGCTCTGTTATCAAGCATTGGGAACTGCATAGGTTGGAGGTAATCTGAAGATAGCAGGGATTTTCCTAATTTGTTATCAGGCCTGTAGCAGTGGTTTTGGGGGATTTTTTTATTTTTTTTTTAGTGCTTCTCAGCTAACCTGGAAAGTGTGACCCCAGTACTGCCACAGGTACTTCATACACATACAGGTAACCCACTAGGCCCCCTTATGAAGCTCTGTCAAAGCTCCAGTGACTTAATACTCAGCACATAGAAGTCAGAATTAGGCAGATCTCAGGCATTAATTACCTTGAATGATCCACAGAGGAGCTGTGGAGTCAATGAGGAATCAGGAAAGAAGCCAGGAGTTGGGGAATTTACACCATTTGAGTAAGAGTCTTGAACAAATTGTTCCAGCAGCAGGAGGACAGTATGGTGTGGGTGAGTGAAGGAGGCTGGGTTGGGGGCAGATAATGAGAAACACAAACATATTTAGAGGAATTTGACTGGAGGAGGACAGAGGAATCACACTTCAAAAATCAGAAATATCTGTTCCTATTATAGAAAAATGCCAGACAGGAGGTGAACTGAAATGCAGATGGTTCATGTTGCTGTGTAGACAGAGGAGGAATCATTCTTAAAAGAATCTGTATTGTTTGCAGCCTGTGTGGTGAGTTTAGTATCATCGCTGCACAAATTTCTGCTTTTGTGCTTGGCTGAACTTTACTGAACTTTTGTTCAGTAACTTCATTTTGGTCTTGCAGAAAGGTTGGTTTAAATTATGGCAGCAGCTAATTCACTTTCAGAGACTTTCAGGAAGTTTTGGCGGCTGCTGGTGTCTTGAGTTCTTGTCAGTTGCATGTTTGACACCAGTCAAAAATCACATCGGTGGTTGATGTGAAGGGTGTAAAGGAATTACCTGGTTCAATAATAAAATAACAAAATTAAGCTAATCTTGTGGTCATATAATTATAAACTGAAGATTAATGAAGGTTGAAGGTTGCAGTTAAATTTAATTTTTAAAAGCTCTAAAAGAAATCTATGAGCTTCCCTTAATGTTTGGGGTTTTTTTCACAAATGCAGTTTGTAAGTGAACGTCTTACCATGGACTTACTCGTAAACCACATATAACAATTTTTCTATCTGTCATGGTATCCCAGCAGTTTTCTGATTGAACCCCATGTGCTGAAATTCAGCTGTGAGTCAGTTTCCTAGGTTGAAGTACTTCCAGCTATCTGCCTTGAGACTTGTTTCCTTACAAGACAGGGGCAGGGAAATAAGTTGTTGTAGTTTTGTTTTGTCACCGATGTTATTGTTGCTATTGCAAAGTATTCTGGTTCTTGAAAATGTTGGTTGTCTCGAAGAATATTTATAAAATTAATTGGACTTCAATAACACCTCAGAACATCAGGGTAGAGTTGAATCAGAGCTTCTGGTTCAACTTCCTTTTCCCTTCATTACATGTTTATTTTCTCCCAGAGGCTGTGAAAAACTCTTGGCTCTGACCTGAGTACAATAGGAGCTGTAGGTTCTCAGCCCCACTGCAAAGAAATCAGATAGATTAGTTTAAAGGACTGACTATATTAAAATAGGTACTTACTTTAATCTTCCTACATTTGATTTTTTTCCCAAAGCGTACAAGAAGAGCATTCAGAGAATTAATATTGGATGTTCTAATTACTGTGCCATGGCTTTTAGCCTCTGTGCAATGAGGTAAAAATGGTTTGTATTCACAGGTTTTTATGTAGAAGGAATAATAGCCCTGAAAATGTTGGAGTGCATTATAATTAGAAAGATCACCTGCTAGTACACCTGTTGGGTGATGGCATAATGTAATATAATTTTATGTTAATTACTTCTGTGCTTTTTTCCCTGCACCTGCTGCTTATAATGTCAGAATTGTACAAAGGTCCTAAGAAGTGACAA